ACCACACAGCCGAAATTCCTTGACTGATGGATCTGCAATATGCCTCCTTTGCTAGCACAAGTAGGTTAGGTCAGTATCATCAGGTTGAGATGTTCCTCAACTAACCTGGCGCTTTGCCTTGCAGGGCTTTCAGCACCTTGAATTACATCTGTAAGCAAACCAGCCAGGTGGCAGCCCTAAGAACTGCCTGCTCTGCCACACACTATACCAGCTGTAGCTTCTGAATGCTCTTCAAGGGTGTTCCCATGTAGAGTGCATTGCAGTAGTCGAAACGTGAGATGACTAGGGCTTGAATGATTGAGCAGAGGTTGTTAAGTGAATAACTGAGTTGTTAAATGAATCATTTGGTCATTAAGCAAATCTGGTTTCCTCCCATTAACTTTGCTTGCCAGAAGCTGTCTGGAAAGATTGCAGATGGTGATCACATGACAATGGGACATTGCAACCATAGGAAATACATACTAATTGCCAAGTACACAAATTTTGATTAAGCGATGGTGGAGATGCTGCAACAGTTATAAGTGCAAGAACTGGTTGTAATTCATTTTTTCAGTTCCTTTGTAAATTTAACTGGTCACTAAATGAATGGCTTTTTAAGTTAAGGACTACTTGTAATTAATTAAAGTGAGTGTAGCGCAGTGTTCAACAGTAACAGCTTCCAGTTTGTTTTTAATCTTTCAAAAATATGCAGCATAGTTGCCTTGATCTGAAAATTAAAAAATATTCTGATTGTAAATTGCTTTGAACGCAGTTTTATTGTGAAAAAATTGATGTAAATGAAGTAATATTGTTAAGTACACTAGGATCTTACAAATGAATGATTTGATTTCAAAGAAGTTCATGCTGTCAAATTGAATAAAGTTCCTTCAGATTGCTTCATACTCAATTATATTTGATAGATTTACTGGCTTTGCAAAGTCTTGAACATTTTTCTTTTATATAGTGTGCTTGCTACTCAACTATGAAGAATATATTACAAATTATTTTTCATAGCATTTTCTCATTTACACAATTGTGATAGCATACCAGGTTTTTTTTTAAATTGTTGCTGAAATAGCATGTGGCACATTATTTCCTGAAGAGACTAAGTGAGTCATGCCAACAACTTAGAAATGCCACTGCTCAATGGTGGATATGTTGATTTTTTAAAGAAAAAGCTTACTTTTAAATAAGATTTACATTGGACTAGGATTTTATGAAGTCATTTGGCCCAATTTAAGCTGTTTACTGGATAATTTGGAGGCAGCAGTGTTGTCTGCCTTCTCTGCTATCTCTGCCCTACAAGAGTTTTAGGGGAACATCCCCTAAAATATATTTTATATGATTCCCCCCCCTCTTTCTCTGTTTACATAATGTTTGTGTTCTATAAATGGGGTTTTTATTAGTGTATTAAATATTGTGTTCTAGGACTTTATAATTAACTCATTATGTACATCTTAATCTAAATAATGTTATTTTGATAATCACCACACATTTAGTATTTAAAGATATAATTTAGGGATGCAGTTTTAAACATAACTGAATGGTTCCCATTTAATAACATGGGACTGTCATGCATAGAATTTCATGTCTGCTATTCAAATGTCATAGTAATTAAAAAAAAATCCTAATTAGTTTTATTTTTAAAAATTCTCATTTGGCACAAAAATGTATAATAGTTTCTAAATAGTTGACTGAATGGCAAGGAATGGGCAATTTTGAGAGATCTGAGAGGGGAAAAGGTAAAAATTATATAGTTCTAATTGTGCTTCTGTGTGTATTTTACAATTATCTGGTTTAAAGATATTTATCTTATTGTTCACAGTTCAAAGCTACTGTATGTAAATAACCTTTCTGTAGAACAACTTGAGAGTATCAAAGCAATGGAAATAGACAAAATGTCAACAATATAACATGAGCTTTTTAAAAAGGGCATAGCAGCAGGAAATAACACCAACCAATATTTTAAAAAGCTATTTTTAAAAAGTAGGAAAACTAAGCTTGACTGATGTCCCTTGATAGGACATTCTAGAAGTTTAATGCAGTAACTGAAAAAACTTTGTCACATCATTTGGTGAACCTGTAGTTCATTTTGCAGGTTAAAAATTGAACAGAAGGTATGACAAGGAGTAGTCTACAATGTACAGTAGATTCTGCAGATTTAAATCAGTTTCATTGCCATCTGCAAAATACAGGAACTACATCCTTAATTCCATCTTCTCCAGGCATTTGAAAGAGGTTTTCCTTTCCTAATTTTATTTAGTTTTATTTATTTATTACATTTTTATGCTACCCATCTTCCCTACAAGAGATATTTCCCCTACTATCAGGGAATATCTAATATTCTTTCTTAACATGGGGAGAGGAAGGCATGTTTCTGATCTGGGTTATTTTTCTGCAGATCTTTCATTTCTGCTAATATCATCAGTGCACAGCAGAATATGTTTGCTGATTGTTTACATACAGTAACTTGTTCTGCCATTCTCAGTTGGGGTATATCCGTGTTGTGATTCCTCGCCAGCTAGTGGATCCGGCAGCTGAGTCTGAGGAATCAGATGAGGAGGAGAGGCCTGGAGTGATATTAGAGTCAGAGGAAGGCTCTGAGGAGCTCCAAGACTTACAGTAGGACAAGGAGCCTGGCCCCTCTAATCACGTTCGGGCTGAGACACAGCTGTGCTGGGAGCCTGAGTTGGATAGTGATGAAGAACAGCTGGCGCAGGCAGGAGAAGCAAGTGGGACAGAGGAATGCAATGGGGTGACTCCAAAGGCAAAGGAGAAGGCATTAGGAAGCCACGCCTTGGCTGAATTATAAAAGGGAAGGTGTGGGAGGTGCTGGTTGCCAAAGGCAACCCTTTGTGTTGAGGATCAAGTTTCTGTGGACTGTGTTTGTTTGCCTTGGACATTGACTCAGGTCTGTGAGAATAAAAGGAGTTGTTTTTTTCTTGCGGTTCCTGCCTGTTTCTTGGAAGAGGGATTTCTTCTTGTGAGCATAACAAGGACTCACGTAGACTGGGACAGAAAAATCTTCTTTGAAGTTCCGTGTTTATAGCTTTGTTTGGTATATTTGCTGTTTATCTTAGTACTAGGCAGGGGTCCCCAATCCGAGTCCGTGGACCAGCATCAAGCTGCAGCATGCCAGAAACCAGGCCATGTGAACAAGTGAAGGCCCCATCTGCAGGATGCAGGCAGCACACAAAACCATGTTCCCTCCAGTCCACAGGAAAAAAACTCTCTCCACAGAATCAATCCCTGGTGCCCAAAAGGTTAGGGGTTGCTACTCTGGGCTGTTGGTTTTGTTCTTTACTTTTGGTTATGTATTTAAATAGTTTGAGGAAAGGGTTAATCTCTTATGTTCATCTGTGGGTTGCATACATTTTCTACTGGAGGAAGACATATATTGGAGTTGACAAAATGTATTAATAGTAAAGTATTAGCTTGGTTCTCATATTCTTGGAAAAAATAGGCAGCTCATACATGATTTGGAATTGTTTCTATTTCAATATACAGTAATCAGATGTGAACATAAATAAAAATATTATAGTATTACTGCTACATCCTATTCAGAACTACTCACTATTTTATTTATAGCCTGGATTTTGAAAGCAAATAAATATTTGCTTTGCAGAATGCAAATAGCTCTACATCTAGAAATAGACTCTTCCTCAGTTATACATTCTTCCATCTAAATGGGTTTAAAAAAAATGGCCCTGTACTATTTTATCTCCTACCTGGATATTTATGCTTAGAAAAAGTGCAAGTCTTCAGTGGAAAAATATTAGTTGATATAAGTATGATACAATTTATATAGTAAATAAAGCAAAGTAATTATACAGTAAGAGTCTCATTTGAAAGTACTTTTTAAACCCGGGGTCCCCAATCCCCAGGCCATGGATCAGTACTGGTCCATGGCCTGTTAGGAACTGAGCTGCACAACTGGAGGGGAGTGGCGGGTGATTTAGTGAAACCAAAACCATCCCTCACGCCTGTCCGTGGAAAAATTGTCTTCCACAAAACTGGTCCATGGTGTGAAAAAGGTTGGGGATCATTATTTTAAACTACTGTTTTAAAAAAGTGTGAGCCTTCAAACAGCTAATGGTAAGTAATGAATCCATTTGTTTCTGTCTTTTCTGGTAAGTAGATGTAAAATCTTTCATTTGATCTCTGTTGGTAATGACTTATTGCCTTTTTACAGCAGTGGCAAAAGTATACAAGCTGCTTTTTGGATAGAAAAGCACTCTTAGCAACTGCTGTGTCTTCAGTGAGCCACAAATAATACATACTGTGTGTTGTTTTGAGCTTTAGAAAAAGACTGGCTGACAATTGTCTCTTTGTATGTCATCAGCTGCTTTTGAATACTGAACTTTTAAATACATAATATTTGATTAATCCTTGAATTTTAAATAATCTGGAGAAGTTGAGAGTATGAAGCTCTCTAATATATAAGTGGCATTCTCACTCTGTGCATATATATACATATAAACTTATAGCCCATTTCACAGTGCTTTACAGCCCTCTCTAAGTGGTTTACAGAGCCAGCACATTGCCCCCAACAATCTGGGTCCTCATTTTACCAACCTCGGAAGGCTGGAAGGCTGAGTCAAACTTGAGCTGGTGAGACTCGAACTGCCAAACTGCTGGCAGCCAGCAGTCAGAAGAAGTAACCTAGAACTCTCAGAAAAGTCTGATAAGATAGAGTATAAAATAAATAAAATATGCATTTTATGGGCATCTGTATTGATTTTATACTATGATGTCCAGATAATCACTAGTATGTACTGTTGTAAATGAATAGCAATAGTTGTCAATGAAAACAGTGAATTGATCCATAATTTTGGAGAAACATTTAAAAAAGTAATGCTCCTTATTTAAAATTCCAGCTTTTGGTGCCAGATTGACAAATCTTGATGCCTTTCACTGCAAATAACTAAGCAATATTGTTAGGTATTATTGGAAGAAATATTGAACATATTGTCTATTCTGAAATTGTTACAGAAGCCATACATTTGACTTTTGTTTTCTAGAGTCAAGATGAAAGATTTGCTTTCATTGCAGAATGGTATGATGCAAATGCTTCACTTTTTCGACGTTATGAGCTTTTGTATTACCCTAAAGATGGATCAGTGGAAATGGTAGGATTATTTTGTATAAAAGTATTTTATAAATGGTTTGTTTGAAAGCAAAACTAACTTTAATAACATGGATTGCGTGTTACACAAACTAGAAATAGAAGAATTGCTTTCCTTCCCCAAGAACTGCATGATGTGGGAGAAGAAGATGGCATTATTTCCCCTTTTCAGAAACCTACATATAATTGCAATATCTTTTCATACAAAGAAAGAATGTAATTGAGAAAAACTGAGTGTGAATTTATACTCCACTCAAATTAATTGAGAAAAATATGAAGCTTCCCAACAAATAAGGGCAGGTTGAACAATCTTGCTCGAGATAATCCACTTAGCCATTTTGTTTCCTTTATTTTTTTCTGTGACCATGGACTTGAAATCTGATCATGGAGATGAAATCCCATGATATATTTCCTTTCACAAGTTAAATAAGTTACATAGGATTAGTATGTAAAGTCTGCTTATCCAATTTTTGTTTTTTTCTCTCGATGTTAAATATTAATGAGTTTGATACTGATCAGAACTTGAATTAGTGAATTGGTATGTTTTGTATATTTATTTGTGTGTATGCATATGATCTGCATAGCTCTTATTAGCTTAAAGATATGCATAAGTTAGGTGGGATGGATAGTCTTGGTTTACTGTCACACAATCATTTATATAACGAGGGATTATTGAATAAACCATAGTTGGCTAAGTTCTCAAAATATACTTAACAATAAACTTTTTTTTTAAAAAGAGTTATTTTCTTGAAGAAAATAAAACAACCTATAAATAACAGTTTAAAAATTCAAATATATTTACCTAAATAATACAAGGTAGGAAGTAAAAATAATACAAGAAATAAAATAGAATAATGGGAAAAAAGGAATGAGTAAGAATAGGTTAATAATATTTATCTGGTCTTCTGCATTATAAAATACTATTTTTTTCATGCAGAATATATTACATTTTTTAAATATGTAATCTAGATCCCATGGAATTATATTGCCTGATTTTTCCTTATTGTTAGTATAAAGCTAATTCAAAGGCTGAGGATTCACAAATTTCATTAATTTTAAACCAGAGTTTACAAACCACAGTGACTGAACATACACAATTTTCTAACTGAAACCCCAACAAATTATATTAGGATGATGGGTGAATTTGTGGTTTTTTTGTTTGTTGTTGCAGTCTGTCTGATATTTGCTCATTTTGGTTTTGTGCAATCTCTTCTTTGATTAATGAAATGTCATTCTAATGAAACATCTACAAGGAAACCACCAAACTCAGAAAGCACCAAGGACCCCACAATCCAACGCTGAACTACAAATATTCTCTTCTATCAATCTTTTCTTTGCTATTAATAAAGGTTGCCAGATACTTTTCATGAGTCTGAAAGAAAGATGCCAGAGATTTATGAAATTAATTCTTTATTTTAATGTAAGACTTTTCTCGTGGATGGATTAAGTGTGTGCCTAAGACCTTTTAATTCTAATTCAGTGGACTTCATTTGATCATGGGCGAAGAGAGTGCAAGAAAAAGGGAAAGGAAGAAATTAACAAGCTGTATTTACAATTTAGAATAATTCTGTTTATTGGCTTTATTGTGCACCTGTGTCTTTGGGTAAACAGATGTATACATAATTCAGGATGAACAGGCGAATTATTTATACATGTTTGTATTAATAAAAACAGATGTGTTAGCATTTGAAAATGGATTGAAACTTTTGCAATAATTATCAGAACAAATGACAAATAATAGTGAAGCATTTTATGGCATAGTCGCTTATTTCCAGAATGTGAGCAAACAGGAGAGAAACTTCATTATAAACTGTGTAAATTATGCAGTGTAAGAAATTAAAGGAAAACCAAACAGAGTAAAGTCCATTGCAAGGAGATAGTGGTGAATTGGTAATGGGTGACAGTGAGAAGGCAGAGCTTTTAAGTTCTGTTTTGCACCTGTCTTTTCTTAGAAATAAAATAGAGCCCTAGCTAATCATCAATAATGAGAAAGAAGGGAATTGCATCTTAGGATAGGCAAGTAGAAGAAAGAAAGAACATAGGCTAAGAAAAATGATTGAAAGGTGACATGATAACAATGTTCAAATAGTTTTCACATAGAAGAAGAAAATTGATTTTTGTCAATTGCCCCATAGGGTAGGACCAAAACCAGTGGTTTAAACCTACCAAGAAGTTGGTTGAGACTAGAGGGCAGGAAGAACAAACTGCCACAGAAAGTATTGAGTTATTGGAATCCCTCAAACAGGCTGAATGATCATATGTTGGATGTACTTCAGTGCATCCTGTGTTGAGTGGGTAGTTGGATGAGATGATCTCTAAAAACCATTAATATAATAATTGTAGAATTGTTTAATACAAAAGGAATTGGATTGGCCCATTTGTTTTTTGTTAAACGTTTATCTCAATCTTTATATAGTGCTTAAAATCTCTACCCCCAAATCACCCTGTAAGTGCCCATAATAGACAGTAGACTAGAACTTGGGGGTCTTTGGCAATACTGTAATCACTATATCACACTGGCTCCTTTTCAGTTGTTATAGCATAATTATAATCATCTCAGGAAGACATTTAATTTTTTCATGGTCATCAGAGACTCAGAATCACAAAGTTCATGCTTAAAATGTGACAAACTACAAACTACATGAGAGCCAACAAATTAGGCAGGTAACTAGGAAACATGATTTGTTAAAAAAATTAACCAGAAAAGTTAAATCAGAAAAGTTGTCACATTTTTGTCAATAAAACAGAAAATAAAAAGGGCAAATGGGGATGTTATTCTACCTTCTTTTCTATGACCCTTTCTGGATTTTTTTCCTATATGCATCAAGTAGGAATTCAGTATCCAACATTTGACTGAATGTTATTGAAATGTTATATATTTTAATTTAAAATAAGAACATTAAAACAGCTGTCTCTTTACTCTTCAGTATGACATGAAGAATCGCTTCAGATTCTTAAATCGCACTAAATATGAAGATCTGAATTTTAAAGATTTCTTTGTGGGCAACAGAATTACTATTTTTTCACGCCACCTCAATTTGGTGGACTATGCAGATCAATATACCTCTCGCGTGTTGGGCAGTTGCAAAGAAAGGTGAGAAAGTGCTGTTTCTGAACTTCTGAGGAATTTTCAGTTTTGTAAGTTAATCAACATACTTCACTTACTGAGTCATCTTATTATATACAAGAATTAGCACTGGATTTTCTGATGGATAAAAGGAAAAATGGAGAAAGGTATTATATTAAATTGATCCTTAGAAAAATTGGAACCAAGTATGTGAACATAAAAAAGCAGAAGCAAACTCTTTATTATAGTCATGTCTTGCTTTTCATATAGTTTTTTGCTGCTTTAACTTTGTGTAGTTATATCCTATTTACTATCAGGGGCTTACAATTAAAATTTTCAAAAATATTCATATTAGATCTGTTACAACTCAGACCATGGTTATAGAGCCTAAGTTGTCTTTTCTAAGTTTTTAATGATACTCCAAACAACACCTTGAAACATAAAAGAATTAAGATCCTGTGATAAAATAGCAAATAAGCTGGAAAATTGTTGTACCAGAAAAATTATCGCCCCCAAAAGTTAGCAGTATTACTATAATACAGATTATTTTTCATCATCTGATTTAAATTTACTGATTATGAACAACAAAGCCATTTTTATTTTTGCTACTCAAGTTCCTAGATAATCTAATTAAAATGTGTTTGTGTGTATAAAATATATGCATATATTGCTTTTATATATACTCCAATGTATTATTAATCACTAATTATTAATATGTTTAAATTTTGGAAAAAACTTATGTCTTCTTTTGTATTTGTGTTTCTTTTATACTGGGGTTTCTTTCCAACTGATGGTAATACTCACAAATTATTTCAGAAATAGTACTTAGAAAGAGCTGAAAATGGCAAACTAGTTTTTTTAGCACTGTTGAAAATGTTTTCAGAAAGGAAGAAAACTAGGTTTTGATGACATTTGTTCATTTCCACATTAGCAATGCGGATAACAACAATAACAACAACAATAAAGTAATAGCAAATTCCTTTCTCTTCAAAAAATTTGTGTGACATAAATTGTTAAAATAGAAGAGAGATAATGTACAAATGTGATTCACTGGTTTCATTAAAATTATTATTGATCAAAATATTTACTGACATCAACATATTGTTGATCAATATGGCATTATTGATATCAAGTTAATATGCCAGATTATCCCCCAAGATACAAATCAGTACCAAAAGTATGTGTCAACTAGCATTTAGAGATTTTTAAAGTAACAGGTAGTCCTCGATTTATGACCACAGTTGAGCCTGAAATTTCTGTTGTTAAGTAAGACATTCGTAAAGTGAGTTTTGCCTCATTTTATGACCTTTCTTGCCATAGTTGTTAAATGAACCAATGCAGTTGTAAATTCATAATTCAGTTGCTAAGTGAAACTGGCTTCCCCATGGCTTTTGCTTGTCAGAAGGTTGCCAAATATGATCACATGACCTCGGGACACTGCAACCATCATAAACATGAGTCAGTTGCTGAGCAACGAAATTTTGATCACTTGACCATGGGGATGCTACAATAGGCGTAAATGTGAAAAATGGTCATAAGTCACTTTTTACAGTGCCATTATGACTTTGGACGGTCACTAAATAAACTATTGTAAATTGAGGACTGCCTGTATAGCAAGAAAGAAAGGGGACTCTTTCATTAGCAAAGAAAATATGTGTTAGGATTTTTTTAAAAAGGGAGAGGAAGAGGAACAATGGGTAGGCTCATCTAAAATGGCAGCTTAGCCTCTAAGAAAAAAACTAAAAATTAATCTGGCATTTCTTTTGAGCGTATACAAAATAAAATTGCACAGTTTCTACGTCTAAAAGTTTGTATACGTTAGAGTCTTTTTTGCATCTTGGATGATTTCATCCCATAATTTGAATGGTGGCTTAGATTCCTTTCTTTCCTTCCTTCCTCATAGTCAGCTATTGTTCCCAGGGAAAAACAAAAGAACAAAAGCCTCCAGCAAACTCCTCCTTCCTTATTTAACCTCAGAATAGTTCTTGCTCAGTGATTTAGCCAATTTATAATACGAGAGGTAGGAGAGATTGGTTCTCAGGTCAACTGTGAGTGTCTTCTGACCTAGATAAAACTTTAGAAACTTGTATTGTCATTAAAAATCCAGCTTAATCTTCAGGAAATTTGTTAAAACTAAGCTTGTACTGGAGTTTTTTTGAGATGTTTATCTGGCTTGGAGCTGACCATGGTGCTTGAACTACTTGATTTCCTCAGGGAAAAGTTAGAAAAGCAAAGAAAAAGATACTGCTGCTTTCCCACAGTGATTACACTTTGGTTAGGGACACCACTTCCTCTTCTTTCTCCCTTTCACACCAATCTCTAGCATTTCTCCCCTACAGTATCATAATCCAGATATTGTCATAATTAAATTTCAGCTAATCACTTGCCTTTCTCAGTTTCTGACAAAGACACTAAAGAATATTTTTCTCCCTTAATTGCTCCCTACCCCAAGTGTTCCAGTTATATTGCAGTTATCAAAGGAACAGGGTCATGGGATAATGAGGGTGACAGGATAAAAAAAAAAAATCTGCTGGATTACGTTTAGATTTTTGAAAAACCAGCATCTCTCATCATAAGAATATATTTCCATTTTTCAGTATGAGAATATTAAAAACTAGCAATATTGCAAAAGTATAATTAGCTGCTCTCTCTCCCTTTTTGGGTCATATATTAGGGTCCTTCCTAATATATGACCCAATATATAGCTCAGGGGTGTCAAACTGCCAGCCTGCGGAAGTCGCACTCACCCCATTGCCGGCAATGGCAAAACTATCTCGATACGTTGCACAATGTCATGTGACATCGTGAGTTTGACGTGTCTGATATAGCTGCTTAACAAATATGTGGGTCCTTATTTGCCTAGCATAAGGTCCCTTTCCTCCCAACTAGAATCTGAAGAGGACAAAAAGACAACAATATCTAAAGAAATACCCTTCTTACTATTTGTTCCTGTGTAACTTTTTTCAAAACTCATTTGCAGTACTAAAATGTTTGGACCAAATACTTCCATTATTTATCTGGGCACTAGGAATGATCACATCATGATGATTGACATGATTATGTTTTCCTGTCTTGGTAAACGTTGATGCATAAGCTATTTTTAAAATTTTCTCATTTAAATTTGTTATAGAACCTTGGCATTATTAAAACCAGATGTAGCACTCAGACTTGGAGAAATTATTGATATGATTATTAATTCTGGTTTTACAATAACAAAGGCTAAAATGGTGAAACTTACAAGGTGAGATTTTAATCATTGCTTATTTTTCAAAAAAATAGAAATATACTTTACATTTTAAATTTTTACTGATTCGTGAAGTACAATCTTTTGTAAAATTACCCTAGAATGCATAGATGTTACCAATATATGCTGTTTCTTGATATCATTAAAGTGTGACTGTGCAATTATATACAGTGTTTCTATCTTGAACCATGCAGTAGCCCAAGAATGGAAGAAATAACGATAAATACTATCTATTATAATGTGATATTACATGAATGAATGAATGAATGAATCTTGCTTGCTGTTATTAAGAAAATGCTAGGAATATTGTGTACACATTAATTAAAAATAGAAGAATCTATTAATTAAGAATATTAAAAATATTCTTAAAAATATCTTTTATAGGGGAGAAGCAATGGATTTACACGCAGACCATCAAGCTAAGCCTTACTACAAGTGAGTATACGTTTTGGTACACTGAGTGGTTTAATGTATGTTACATTCCATGAAATAAAAACTCTTACCATGTTGCTTTCTATCAATGTCCTTTGAGTTATCTACACAAATATAATATAGATAGTATTTGATAAGCATAGAAAAACTAGACTTCTCTTAATTTTATACTGTTTTCCTTGTACAGAATTGGATAGTTATTGGTTTTCATTCTGTCAGGTTTGTAGTCAAGTCAGACTCAAATCCTGGTGATTTCATTGAAACATCCATGTTGTTTTCTTGATAAAAATAAGTCATTTTCTTTTGCTACCTTCTAAAATATATTTTTGATTTCAGCATTAAAAAATCCCTATGATCCAAGTGCTAATCAGATTGGGCCTTATTTAGATTTTTTTAGTACCAGCTAGGTCCTGCAACCTGCTCTGATACTTTTATTCTAATAAACTAAATATATTCTAACAACATTAAAATACTCTTTCATCGTTTTCTCATCTTTAGAACTTTCTTACAAGAGTATACATGGTCCTACCTTAATACATCTTTCATTCTACATTTTATTGTGGTATTACATACTTAGTTGTTTTGCAGTGTGTTTTTGTTTCAAAATGATCTTGATCCTTTTCATTTTCTTACCATTAAGCAAATTGACTTTATAGTACAGTAGTATAGTATTAGTATTAGTATAGTGTAGACTGCAGAGTATCACAGAAGATTCAGTGATTCAATCTATGAAATATCCAGTAAATCAATAAATAGCTATTGTTAGTCAGCATAGACAGACTGGAAATTTAAGGACAATAGTTTGTTTACAGCAATTTCCTTTGATGGTTGCTGCCAAAAAAGTGGTCCATTAAAAAGGGGTGTTCTTGTTCTAATCACTGCAAAATATAAAATTAATCAGTTTTTCCTTTCCAGGAGACTGGGAATAGGCAAGGTAATCTTGCAACTTCCCAAGCTGCCTCTCTGTGTTCCAGGACACAATGGCAAGCTCTTTGGTTTAAAATATATTGGGTAGAACATGGGAGTCAAATGTGCACATTACTGTATTATAGGCAGTCCTCAACGTACAACGGTATGTTCAGCAACCAGCTGTAATTACAACGGCTCCAAATAAAGGTAGTTACAACCCCTGCCTGAAGTTGCGGCTGTGGTCACATGATAAAAAGTCAAGTGCTTTACAGCACACATGCCCTTACAACCCTGGGGATGCCACAGCTCCCCTTGTATATCCCTCCCCCTCCCCCATTTTGGCTGCTTGTACAGTGGCATTCATCAGCAGCCATTACAATTGTCCCTATACCAGCTGATCTTCACCACCTTGATCCTTTCTTCAAACCAATATCCCTTTTTATGTGAAAGCCCTCACGATGTGCAAAAGAAATGGTGCACATGATTTGGGGAAATGAGGCTTTTGAAGCAACCCAAGAACAAGGCTCCTGCTGTTCTTCAAACCACATGTCTAATTTTCATGAGATTTGGATCAGGAAGTTTCTAATGAGGTGCAAGCTTGCAGAAGGAAAGGGATGCCTGCTTGGAAAATGGCTTAAGGTGGTGAAGGTCAACTGGGCAGGAGGGGCAATTGGGGTTACCGCTGGCAGTACCACTGTGCAGAGCCAAAAGAACATGAATGGAAGGGAGAATGATCCTTACTGAAACTTCACCTAACAATCCAGGCAATCGCCTAACAACTGCAACTGGGAATGATGGAACTGTGGTTATTGAGTGAGATGGTCATATGGGCACCTCACTTAATGACTGCAATAACATATGACTTCAATTCTGGGCTCAATTGTGTTTGTAAGTCAAGGACTACCTATATACTGTAAAAGTAATGTTAAGAAATTAAGTGATCTGTACTATTCTTGACTATCCACTTAATTAGGTGCCTGCTGTTTCTGGGAGCAGTACTGATGTGCTAAATTTATTTTGTAATGCTTTATATACACACTGTGACCAGTACTTTGTTTTCTTGACATGCATGTTTGTGATTGAACATGATCGCCCATATATGTACATAAATAATAGATAGAGTTCTACAGAGAGAGATGCCTGGCTTGATAGACTTGGCAAGCTTCATTTGGCTTCTAGGCTGCCAATTTCTAAGGAGCCAAAAGTTTAGGATTTATGTTCTGCTTAATTTGCAATTAAACATAAGATCAGAGTTCCTGAGTAGTCAGCAAATCTGTTATCTCTTTTCAGTTCTGCCTTTCTTAAAATATTAAAATAGTTTCTGATGTTGCAAAAGATAACAGAATAAACAAAGTATTGTTTCAAAAATATGAAAATATTATTTCTAATCAGATTTTTCTGCAACTTACTATTTTTACTATAGTAGCTTAATATTTGTACTATGTACCCAACTTTGTTGGTATTAATTTGTTTAGGATGGAAGAATCCTGTTGAAGCATTTGGTTTCCCAGGTATCCTGACTATTCTATTTTCTGTTTTCAGTGAGCTTCTTGAGTTTATTACAAGTGGCCCTGTTGTTGCCATGGAGATTTTGGGAGATGATGCCATAGGCAGATGGAAACAATTATTAGGACCCGCAAATTCAGTTGTAGCCCGAACCGATGCTCCAAACAGCATTAGAGCACGTTTTGGAAGTGACAACATAAGAAATGTGGCTCATGGCCCTGATTCCTTTGCCTCTGCTGCTAGTGTAAGTTTCTCAAATATACATTTGATAGGCCATTCTGTACATGACTTAGTTTCTTTTAGCATATAAGAATTATTTATGTTTTCATACCTCTCAATTAAATATTTTCCACTGATGCATGTACATATGTAAAATGAACACTCCTTTCTCTTTCTTTCTGAATCCTGTTTAAGTTACTACTTTTGACCAGTAGTTCCTTATTGACCAGCCTCCTAATTCCATAGCTTTCATCTTAGTTAGATCAAATGAGGCAATTCAACTAAGATCTGTAGAAGATCCTAAGGCATATTTTATCACTAACACAAACGTTTAGTGTTAGTGATTTGTTATGAAGATCGCTTCAACTAATCAGAGAATTCTCTGTCCAGGAAAACTACTGTACTGTGTAACTAACTATGTTTATATGACTTCATCCCATTTTTTTTTCACTGGAAAGCCTCCCCCATTTTGTCGTCATTTTGAATAATGGTAGTATGATTTCAGTCAAATATTGCCCGAAGCTGTTAAAGGAGTAATTGCATGATAATACTCTAAATAAATGAAATAGTAAATCTTACAGAATAAAATAAGATATATAATGTATACATCATTTTAATTTTCATCTTGTTAGAGTTGAAACTATAAATGATAATACATAGCCACATTGAATTTTTTTATAGTTTCCTAACTATTTATTGTGATGGATTAAATAAATTTAAACAGATTAATTGGAGGTTCATCTGAAGGCAAACCTTCATGTGAATCTTTCCAAGCTATAAGAAAACAGATTCGACAATATATTTGCATTTTACTTTTTGATGCCTGCTTTTCTTTCCATGGAAACATGTTTCTTGATGTTGATTAGAGGAGCTAAGAATAGTGCTGCTGGCAATGTTTTAATTACTCCCTTTTTTGTCCCTGCTGTGTATCCTTAAAAGTATTTTAATGTAGTATTATGTATTTAAGTGTGTGATTATGAGTTATGAAGAGTTAAAGAATCCATTAATTTATACATTGTTGAATTCTATACAACTCTAAAATGGTATGCCACATACTCATGCCACTGAAAAATGTTAAATTTATGAGATTATAAATTAGGATGGCAAAAAAGGAGGGCCAGTCCTTGGCACTTGAAATGTTTTTTTGTTTGCTACTGATTTCCTCCTTCCAGTTTTCTTATCTTCTTTAGCTTTCTCTGTGTTTTGTGTTGCTTGGAGAAAGGGAAATATTTATATTGAGATTACTTAGCAACTCAGGATCACTGTACTTACTGTAAGGCAACAAGCATTGTTCTTCCCAGTTCAGATAAATGAAAACATCTGCCAAGACTGAATCCAGGTAGTGCCATATCTGGGAGAAATAACAGGTGATCTAATCATAGGTGCCCTTGCTAGCCTGAGATTTTACTTCAGTGTCCTGTTCATGAAAAAACAGGCTACTAATGGAGAAAAGCATATATAGCTTGCAGAAGCCATGTTGGTAAAAGTAGAAGAGCAATTACTTGGTTGTTTGTGAAGACAAACTTTGGGAGAAAGAACTGGAGATTAATTTCTGTATAGATATTAAAATTGCAAGTCAGAGAGAATAGATTCTCTGACTGTCCAATCTAACAGTTCATATAGTTCCATGAATTTCAGGCAGATGATTTCTGCTGATTGGATTTTTGAAATCATGGTCCTAAGATTTTCTGTAGCGGTTGGAGAGAAGTTCTAGCCCCCAATCTAGTCTGCATTTTAAAAAAAACAACAATGTAGGAGAAGGATCTCACCTCATCACGAAGAGAACCTCTGCTATTGATGATGATGACCTTTCCCTCCCCAGTGAGCAGCTAGCCCTGTAAAAAGGCCCTCTGTTTTCTAGGAGTGGGCAGACAAGAAAACAAACAAAAGAGTATCTGTGCTGTAACAGATAAATAGGAAGTAGGACTGTGGTTTCAAGCTTATTTTTGTAATTTGGTTGTTTTTTTTTTGCTCCTTTTTTCTAACCTCTTTCTCTATGTTGTTGAATCACCTGATTCTGCCTGTAATTTCTTTTTCATTAAATCATTAGTTCTATTTGTTTTCTGTCTTCCTCTGGTTGAAAAACACACATTCTCCCATAAATATATTCAGCTTGCTTTGGGATTTGAATTGTTATGTTTTTATTGACTTGGGTTTGAAGCTTTTTCATCTTTTCAGGCAGTTAAGTCACCTGTAATAGCTTACTGTTCTTTTATTTCTTCTGGCCCACCTGATTCACTCTGATAGCCTAAAACTCTTTCAACACAGTTGGCAGTCCTGTGGCATTCAGGTTGGAAAGTTCTCTGTTTCCAGTATGAGCAGCTAGTAAGAAATCAAGTGTTACATAGTTTATTGTGAAATATTTAATGGTAATATGACAAAATAATGAACTCATCTGGTGATTATAGCTCAATGAATGTGTTATGGTGACATAGGATAGTTTTCATGGTTTTCTCCCTGCCTATTCTTGGTAATGCAGTACTGAAATTTGCCTTAAATTTCTCAAGGTTTTTTTTTTTTTTTTGTGAAAGGTTTATTGTATCTTTTTCTTGGTATTACAAATAGTCCTTGACTTATGACCACAAATAAGCCTGACATTTCCAATTCAACCAAAGAATTGTTAAATGAATTTTACCTCATTTTACGACCCTTCTTGCCACAACTGTTAAGTGAATCACTGCAGTTGTTAAGTTAGTAATACAGTTCAGTGAATCTGGCATCCCCATTGACTTTGCTTGTCAGAAGGTCGCAAAAGGTGAACCATGACAATGGGACACTGCAACCTTCATAAATACATGCCAGTTGCCAAATGTCTGAATTTTGATCACATGACCATAGGGATGCTACAAAGGTCATAAGTGTAAAAACGTTGGTAGGCCATTTTTTTCAGTGCCTTCATAACTTTGAAAGGTCACTAAATGAATGGTTATAAGTCAAGGATTACCTGTACTTGGGGATTTTTTTGAAAATGGGCATTGTTTTGGATCTTAGTCTGTGTTTGGAAGTCTATTGTCTGTGCTGAATGATGAGGCACTTTCAAAAATATGTTAATAAATAAGGAATGGAAATGAATAAAAACCAAAATGACTATTATAATCTCAGTGCTTGGACCCCTATTAAATTTATGTATTTAATTCCTATTAATTCCAGGAACTGGAATTATTCTTTCCTTCCAATGGAGGCCGTGGACCCGCAGGCACTGCAAACTATACACATTGTACTTGCTGTGTTATTAAACCTCATGCAATTAAAGAAGGTTAGTTATATTCCTTGCAGAGTCAATAAAAATACTTGTTGGTCCTCTTTTTGTCTAGTTAGTAGACATATAAATTATTTCCACAACGGTAGCTATCTCAGCCTGGTTCTAACAAGCAATGCTGTTCCTTTTTGTTAATGTTAATACTCATAGTTGCAGAGATAAAGACTTGTTTTCCTGTTGCTGTTCATCTTTTTTTTTTTTTTTTTTACTTTTTTGACAAAAGTCTTTCCTACCAGCAGTTTGTTTATCAGTTAGGCTCAGATGATTTCCAGCTGACCTGCTTGCAGTATCAGATGGAGATGTTCTCTGTATGCAATTAAAGTACATAAACCACATAAATAATTATTTGGGTTAACAGGTTCTGCAGAGATACTGGCAAGAGAATGCTTTGCAAAACCACTTTGACCGTCATATTTTGCTGCTTCTAGTAGGTCCTCAGAATAAAATGATAATGTTTAGAATATAGTGTGATAGTTGTTTCTTCCCATAATGCATCAGTACATAACAGTGGATTCTTTCAAATGAGAAAAAGCTATTAATGGGGTTTGTAGACTATGTTTGATAATTTAAAATCCTTTTTTTATTTTGGAACTAATTTGATTTTTGTAAATAAAATTAGTTCATTGCATTATAAGAAAATACATTTAACCCTCTGTAGCTTTAATATTGATAACTTTTCCCAGCCTGGGCATCTTTCAAAGGTGTGTATTTTAGAATTATTATTAATGATCTGCTGGCTGGAACATTCTGGGGAAATTGAAGAAAGTATATCTGAAGGACATTCAGATTACAGAAAACTGCTATTTTCTACTATTCTTATTCAAAAGATTTTACTTAATTTGACTTAAACTTGTTCTTTCCTTCTGCCAGTTTCAAAACTATGGTACAGTTAGTCCTCTTACTGACCATAATTGGGACCTATGTCTCTGTTGCTGAGTCCCACTGTCATTAAGCAAAATATCACGTGACTATGCCAGACTTATATATAGACTGAAAAAAGTGATTTATCACCATTTTTCATATGACTGTTATAGCATCCTCATGCTCACATCACTAAAATTTCACTGGCTCAAATTTATAATGGCTGCAATGTCCTGGGGTCATGTGATCACTTTTTGCGACCTTCTGAAAAGCAGTGGGGAAGCCAGATTCATTTAACAATTGTGTCACCAACTTAACAACTGCAGTGATTAACTTAAAAACTGTAGCAAGAAAGGGTGTAAAATGGGGCAAAATTTACTTAACTATTTCACTTAGCAATAGAAATTTTGAGCTCAATTGTCATAAATCAAGGATTATCTGTATAATATTGTATTGATAGGAAAGACAAAATGTTTAACCAGTAGAACAACCTGCCTCCAGGAGCGGTGAATGCACCAACACTGGAAGTTTTTAAGAAGAGACTGGACAGTCATTTGTCCGAAATGGTATAGGGTTTCCTGCCTGAGCAGGGGGTTGGACTAGATGACCTCCAAGGTACCTTCCAACGTTGTTGTTGTTGTTATTATGGATCATCGCACAGTCAGCCAGATGTTCAGACTGGATTTGGCATTTTGTCTACCTATCGAGTCCTTACCCAGGACCTGGGATAGGCAGATGTGGATGTTTGATGGTATTACAGATATCGTCGCAGGATGGAAGCAGTTCCTAGTAAGGCCGCCTTTAGCAATTGACTAATAGCGAATTTGTCAATGCCAATGGTGTTCAAGTGGTGCTCCAGTTGTTTTGGGATTGCACCCAAGGAACCTATTACTATTGGTACTACCCTTGCTTGCTTTTGCCACAGTGTTTCTATTTCTATTTGTAGGTCTTTGTATTTTGTTATCTTCTCCAGTTCTTTCTCTTCTATTCTGCTATCTCCAGGCACTGCCACGTCCACTATCCAGACTTTTTTGTCTTTCTTATCGACAATTGTTAAGTCTGGGGTGTTATGTTGCAGGTGCTTGTCTGTTTGAATTCTGAAGTCCCAGAGCAGTTTAATTTTATCATTTTCTATGACTTTCTCTATTTTATGATCCCACCAGTTTTTGCTTACAGGCAAATGATATTTTTTGCAGATCTTCCAATGCACCATTGTTGCTACTTTGTCATGCCGCTGCTTGTAGTCAGTCTGTGCAATCTTCTTGCAACAGCTTACCAGGTGGTCCACTGTGGTAGGCAGCACACTGACTTTATTCATTTGTCTTAAGGCTTGGTCTTGTGCAGCCAGAATTAGTCTTCTTCTTCTTCTTCTTCTTCTTCTTCTTCTTCTTCTTCTTCTTCTTCTTCTTCTTCTTCTTCTTCTTCGTCTTCTTCTTCTTCTTCTTCTTCTTCTTCTTCTTCTTCTTCTTCTTCTTCTTCTTCTTCTTCTTCTTCTTCTTCTTCTTCTTCTTCTTCTTCTTCTCTGCTTTGATCAGGCCACTTTGTCCATGCAATGCATAACTTTTATAACCCATGTTCACATTCCTCATATTTCTATTTTTCTGAGCTAAAGAGCTTCAAACATCCAAGAGGTGTTACAGTGTTTCTAACTCTACTTAGGATGCCATTTGTCTTTTAACACTACCATACCCTGAGCTGACAGTATTGAGCCTATCTACCGGGAGCCCCTGTTATGCATCAACACTTAATTGAGAATTTGCAGGATGGATATCAAAAAAGAAAAACCCCAAAGGAGACACCATGGTAGCAATTACCTTTGGAGAATTTATTAATTAAATAGCCCAAATAGATCTGCCCAGAATTCTGATTCTCTGGGCAGATCTTATAGTTCTTTTTGCCCAATTCTCCCACCTCTAAAAATGTTTATTCTGGCACTGAGATAATTAAATGGAAGGAAATTGATGTTTGTGTTTATATATTGTGAAAAAGAAAAGAATGCAAAAGTGTACCCAAGCACACAATTGGGAATTCAGATTGACAGGAATGCTGTTCCCTCCAGCTGTTTGCCTAGAGTGCTCATGACAGCAAGCCACAAGAGCAAAAGGAGGCAAAAGCTGTCAGCTATTAACTTGTTAATGTCAAGGCAGGGATTTTGTTGGTTGCTAGCAGTAGCAGCAGTACAAGCTGCGCCTAAGATAATTAACTTGCTTAAAGTCATGGACTGCAGCTTCTTAGTTTGTTTTTTTTAGCGCTTATTAGGGAGATGCTGTGCAGTCGAGAAAAGCCACTCAGAAAAAAAATAGTTTGTTTAAACAATCTCTCTAGTTTGCAAGGGGAAAAAATAAATTGCCTATTCATGTAACTGAAAGGGATCTTTCTAAAGATCTTCAATGATTTGTGGTTTTTACCATCCTAACCAAGGTTATGTATTTTACATCATCCACATACTTGACCAGCTCATTGCTTACAACAAGATTGTTTGATTCATTTAAAAATTACTAGTCTCAACATAGATCCTTTCCTTTTTTTCCCTCTAAAAAGAAACTTGATTTGTAGTCATGTGTTTGTGTTTCTATTTAACCCATTAGCAATTCTCTTATCCCATGACTACTAAATATACTAAACAGCTTTTGATGAGAAGTCCTCATCCATGTGCCTACTGACACTCTGAAAGAACTTTGTTAAGCTTCATGAAGCAGGATTAATCTTTATGAAATCAATGCTGATTTTTCTTCAGAAAAGCTTGTACCTATGTACCTAGTTACTTTTCATTGTATTACCAATTTTACAAATTTGTTCAGAACAGATGTTAAGCTGACTGACTTAAAGTATAATTTACAGAATCACCTCCAGATTCCTTTTTAGAAATCTGTGTTACATGGTTACTTTTGAATGTAGTCAGTAACACTGATCTTGATATAATTTGTTATATATTTTTGTTTTATTTTTTATTAAGAGATTAATAGCTTCACATTTGAATGACTTTTCATTGACTCAAATTAGGACTCCCTGATTTGCTATAGTGCAGTCTCTCAGGATGTCCCAGAATATCTTTTCTCAAATAATTTTAATTGTTTTGATCCTCTTCCTGAGACATTCTGTTGCTGTTGATGTTTTCAGACCATTGAAGTGGACAAAACCTGAACATCAAAGTCATGAATAGTAAACTTCTTATTGTAAGTTAATCAATAATAGAACAGTAACAGTATCTTGCAACTTTGAATGTGCCTCTCCCTTCTCTGCCTTTATCCTAAAGAGAGGTTGGAGAGGTCCAGGCTGAGATACTTTCTCAAATTCCATTCCAGTTATGTTGAGATTTTTTTTATTTGACTATTGCCTTGGCTGTCGCTGTTCCTCTCCTTCCTCAAGGTTACTCTCACACTTCGTTATAGATGTCATATCTCAGTGTCTGGGTTTGGATGGGGATCAGCATCAACCTTGCCAAAATTGAGTGGTTTTGGCTCTTCGGGCCCTCAGCTTCTGGGAATCTCAACTTGGGTGTCCTTCTGGACTCATATCTCCTGTTCAAAGAGCGGATAACAATTGTGATTAGGGGGCCCTTTTTACAATTTCTGTTGGTGAATTTGCTCCAGTTCCTGGAACAAGAGGCTCTGCTCTCAATCACTCATGCCTTGGTCACCTCCTCAATAAATTACTGTAATGTACTCTAAATATGATTGCTTTTGAAGAACATCCAGAAGCTGCAGCTAATGCAAAGTGCTATGGTGCAGGCAGTTGTGGGCACTCCAAAACCAGCACACAACCTCTGCTCCCAGAACTGCAATGGTTGTCAATTTTCTTTTGATTTTAATTTAAGATGCTGTATGCTATCTGGACTGCAGAAGAACCTTTTTATGGGTAACATCTATTAAGTAGTATCATCTGACAGGACCCAGGAGGAGAGCCGTTTTTTTTAATAGCAAGTTTTTATTGGTTTTCCAATTTTACATTTGAGTATTTGGAAAGCAGTGTGGTGTTTGGGTAATCAATAGTACAATAACAAAATCTTTAGTACATATCTCAGGTTACATCATCAAAAAATTCCTTCTCTATTTCCCTTAACATTTGCTATATCATATTTAAGCTAGTAAATTTCTAATTATAACAAGCTCAGTTAAAACATTTATCAATATATTTTTGCTTATACATATCCATGTCCTGTGTTTAAATTTTACCTAAATTTTAATTTTTAATTATAGTATTCCAATTTAACCTTTAATATCCATAGTATTTAAATTTCGGGTAACCCAAGTTTCCTTTATTTCACTACATAAAAATTATAATATCTAAAATACACCTATTACTTACTTAAGTATATTCTTATTTTATTTCATAAACATTTTCTATTTCTCATCCTAGTACATCACTACTTACTAATGGAGTATCCTTTATAGTCTCAAATACATTGTCTGTGTTATCTGGGCTAAACAATAATTCAAGGCTATTTCCTAATAGTTCATTTTCATTTCCCTTATAAATCTAAATCCTCAATATAAGGCCAATTAATCCCTTAATCTTTAATTCATTCAAATATAAGATTTTATCTCTGTCTAATTTTTCTTGTCCCATTGCATAGGCTTCTTCAATTTTACCTGTGTCATTCCCAGGTAACAGACAATACTTGTCAGGTTTAATACACTGTGGCTACTATGCCACAACTGCAACCAAAGCCAAGTTTTATCCCAAGCATGTTTGTGTTATTGTATGCCAGCTAGGACCTGTCAAATACAGACTATCCAATTAGTATTATTAACTAGGAGATATCCACAGGATACCATGTGCTTTTTGAAATCTGATTTTCTCCCCCAAAGAGCTAAATATCTTACACTTAAGTGTAAATCATGGTCTTCCTATTTTATGTAAATTACACATATTTTTGTTTTGCTTTAAATAGAGAAAAATCTTTCCCAGCTGAGTGCCTCAGCTCAAAAGTTTGAGTAGGTGTTATATTTATCTCTGTACAGGTGTCAGATGCATATATATTAGTCCAAATATATTCTGGATTTTTTAAAAAAGAATTATTATATGATAACACCCTAACTCTCAAGCATTTAATATTTAAAATACTCTTAGGTATCTACCATTATTCTCCTTTTTTGTTTTAATGCAGGTCTAGCTGGAAAGATTATAAAAGCAATTCTTGATGGAGGATTTGATATCTCAGCCTTGCAGATGGTAACTAATTTTCTTTTTCTTATTTTCTTTTTATTTAATTCTCGTGGAATTAGGAGGTGGAGAGAAAATTCCACATTTACCACTCCTGTTTCTACTATAGAACCACACCATAGTCCATTGCACTTGGGAACATGTCTGCCTTTGCTTTTAGTGATTCTTTCTCAGCTGAAACAGCTGCAGCCAGAAATGTAGCTGCTTCCTTCAGCTTTGTTGTAAGTGGTGTCTTGTATCAGGTTTTCAAAGTGTTATCTTGTTAAACAAAGGAAATCAGCCTTTTCAGTTCAGTTAAACAAAAAATGGATAGACTTCAAAGTTGCCGAATTTATTTTGTTTTTTTCTTATAATTCTCAGATTGTCAGCCAAAGAAAAATGAAAATGACTTAAAACTGGATCAGGTTGTCTCTGACCATATTCTGAATCAGGAAACTTGCAGAACTAAACTGAACTCACAGTTTTTTTCACATGAAAATCCCGTATTTGTTCATTGCAGCAGTTAATTTAGAATAAAGCATTTTTTGTTGTTGCTGCTGCTGATAAAGCAGGGGTGTCAAACTGCTGGCTGGAGGGCCGGTTGCATCATACGGAGACCTCACCCACCCCAGCTCTGGCAATGCAAAAAAAGTCATGACACATCACATGACGTGGTGAGCTTGACGCCCGTGTGCTAAAGCATTTCATAGTCAGAACTGCTTGCTCACAAATGCTGATATACCTCCCATATGCTAGATCATTATACTTTTCCAACAGTACTATGGAAGCAACTTTTAAAGATGGGAATTATCCCCACTGAATTTGCTGAACACAAATCAATAAAGCCTTGATATAAATAATGTATATTGAGAAGCATCTGGCTATTCCTCCTCCAAAAGAAAACAAAGAAAAGAACTCATAGCCAACCCTAATTAATTATGGTTAGCTTTTGAAGAGGCAATGATCAGATTGGTTCTGAAGTAACCTAATTAATAAGATGTTAATTGGAATTAGTAGTTTACCCCACTTTCTCAGGGAAAATGCTTGAGCATTTGGTGGTTGCTGATCAATTTCAGACATTTTTAAGCTGATTTTCTGGATCCATTCAGGGCAGTTGCATTCCTGATTTGGAACGAAAACTAGTTTCTAGACCAGTGGTTCTCAACCTGTGGGTCGGGACCCCATTTGGGGTTGAACGACCATTTCACGGGGGTCGCCAAACAACGCAGTCCGCCATTTTTTTCCCCTTTTCCTTAGCTGTGCTACTCCCTTTTATTCTATTGGCCTTTGAAAGCCAATAGAATAGACTCTCTTGAATAGAGTCTAATTCTATTGGCTTTCAAAAGCCAATAGGAATTGTCCAGGCTGTCTGTGCCCTGCTGAGCCCGCCAAAAGTCCCATTCTGCAAACGGTGCTGCACCAGTTGAGTAGTCCTCGACTTACGACCAGTTGAGTAGTCCTTGACTTACGACCGGTTGGGGGTCGCGGCATTAAAAAAGTTGAGAACCACTGTTCTAGACTGTGAGTTCAAGTGTGGTAGTGCTGGAACTCATCTCCTAAGTTCTAGAATAATACCTTAAACATTACATCAGTCTGACTCTACAAATACATACTTAGATATTACAATTAAAACTCATTAGCCAGTGATCATTGCAATAATATTGTACAAGCACTTAAAATTGTTTTGACACTGAAATAATTCTTTAATAAAGTAAAAGGAAACAAAAGCATTATACAAAAAGCATTTAGAAAGCCTCCTCTCTTTTCCCTGCCCCATTGTTTCCTTCCCCTGATGTATTTTGAACTTACTTAAATTTTAATTAGTATAAATAATTGAATAATATAAATAGTGAGCAACAATCATGAGCTTTGTGCAGCCTGAAACTTGACAAAAACTTTTTTTGGAGATAGAGTGAAATTAATTAAGACTTTTGTTGAGGAAGGTGTTTCTTTATGCTCAGGAAACTCTGGGTTTGCACCTGGTATGTTTGTACTTGGGGGGGGGGAGCAAGTTGACAACTATAAGGCTGAGAAAGGAAAGTCTGTCTGTTGTCACCAGCAAAAGGTGCCTCCTCCAGTAGCCCCCACTGACTCTAAAGCAGGGGTCTTCAAACTTGGCCCTTTTATGACTTGTGAACTTCAACTCCCAGAATTCCTCAGTCAGCGTGCAAGGCTACTAAAGCCAGGCTACTTACAAACTGTGATACCTAAATTTATTATTATTATTTTGAATAACTTAATTTTATGTGTGCTTGACTTTTTACCATGTGGTTTGATGAGTAGTGTGCACACACATGTTGTTTATCAGCTTATTTGCCAAACAATAAATACCCTCTACATGACTGAGAAACCACACAATTCTTGTCATGTTTCTTGTACAGAAAAAGGGCAGCTATAATTGTTAGGTAGTTTTTAAGTATTTTTAAGACAATACTAGCTCCACAATTCTGCTTCACAGAATCTCAAGAATTAGATTATTCCTTTCTATTTTATATGTAGTTCTATATGGACCGAGCAAATGCAGAAGAATTCTATGCAGTCTACAAAGGTGTTGTTGCTGAATATTCTGTAAGTAAATATTATGACATCTGTTTTCACCATTTTTGATGCAGTTTAGATATTATCTTAATGGACCATCCTTTTTGTATGGTAATGCTCAGGATTATTACTCATAGTTATGGATTGTTTTAATATTTGCTGTAAAATAAACCATTAACAATTTATTGGAAAGATAACTGTACACATAATTTTTAGGTTTGAATCCACAGTGTGATATACATAAATTGTGTGCACTTTTGGATAATGGTTTTCCAGGCTAAAAAGCATCCCCATTAGTAACATTATGTTGTCCTTGAACATCATATCAAAATTCTTAATTTTTAAAATTAAAACAAATTTCCAAAAATTCCAATTCCTTGCTACCTTTAGAAATCCTCCTTGCATTTTTCTGCCTCACTTTAAAAATGGATCAAATCCACAAACTAGCAAATTAATTTTGTGGATATTTTTTCCCCATTGAGGAGGGATGCTTGGCATACCTTCTGCCTCCAGATCTTTCTGCAGTTTAATAATATGTCATCTTTGCAATTGGGGAAGAATTCTCAAAGGCAAATTTTGTTAATACGCTACATTTGCAGTATTTGCAGGAATGCCACACTTCATAATATTTACTGAAATGCCACTTTACACATTTTGTTTTACAATAGTTGGATAGTTATGTACCTGTTCTATTTTTATTCTGTCATGCCTCAGTATGGTTCTTACCTGTTTACAAAATACACATGACATTTAAAACATCCACAGTTTAAATACCAATGGTAAATTTAATAAAAAATGATGAGTCAGTAATGAAATATAACAAATTGATAATCTTTTTCTATTAAGAACCAATAAACTCAATAGATAGTATCATTTCAAAGTGTAACTACTCTAAGAAAAAACTCAGTTTCCAGAGTCCTCCTAAAGGAAAACAGGAAAGGAGCTAGTCTAATTTCACTTCGATTTTTGAGGCCATAATGTCTAACTATATTTTTCTCAATATTTCCAACCTTGGCATTCTAGACTCCTGCCACAAGCAGCACACCATGCTTTGCATTCTCTGTCAATTTCGAATTGAACTTGATCATAAAACTCATCCATTTTCTTTTCTGTATATATAGTTGGAGCATAAACTTGAATACACCTGTCAATTATGTCTAATTGATTATATCTGGTGATTGATTGCTTTGCAGCCAAGTATTGTTCTTGCTATTGTCTTTTTAACTATGAAAACAAGACCACCAACTTTTGACTGAAACTATTCAATTCAAGTCTATCTCAATTTGCTGATCCTAAGATACCGATGTTTAGTCATTCATTTTCATGTTTTATTGTGTTGAGCTTTCCCAAAGCTTTAGGTGCAATCAGAGATCCTGTAGGCTTTAAACTGGCAATATCATAAACACAATTAGTACTCTAAAATAGGGGTGTGAAACTCGCAATATCACATGATGTGACACATCACGACTTTTTTTGCCATTGCTGGCAATGGGGTGGGTGCGGTCTCACTATGATGCATCCGGCCCGTGGGCTGGCAGTTTGCTCTAAAAGATTCTCAACTCTTCTTCAGCAGTGTGTTGCTATCCCTTCTAATGGGTACATTATCTGTCATTATATCATCAGTTATTTTATATTCCCAACTGTGTGGTTTTCTTGGTAAAATATCAGTAATATATTACTGCTTTCTGCAGTATGAAAAAATGTGCAGCTTGTAGTGTGTTGAGCTTTTCAAAATGCAAAATAAGCTAGAAGAGATCACTCTATCACATCATACTTGTTTATAAAAATAAATACTCAGATATTGGGGAGGTACTTTGCTTTTGATTAATGTTTATCCCAAAATAATCTAGGATAAAAAACCCAAGTCTAGTCCTAAAGGATTTGTTTGCTTGTTTTCTGCATCCCTGCTTTTTGATTATTTGGATTTCTGTAAAATTATCAATTTAGTAATGGGGCCATAAAATTTTCAATAATGTGCCTTCAGAACAATGTAAACATCTGTTGGGTTTTTTTCTGGTTACAGGAGATGGTTGTAGAACTCTATTCAGGACCTTGTATAGCTCTAGAGATTCGACAGGTAGATCCTGAAAAAGTGTTCAGAGACTACTGTGGCCCTTCTGATCCTGTAAGTAACTTATTAAGCAACTTATAACAAAATAAGACTGATGAGTGAGATCTGTGAATGTATATCCTTTACTTTCACTTTAAAGCAGCTTGGAGAAGAGATCCACTTTTGCTTAGCTTGTAGTTTTGTACAGAACAGTTCACTCACCTCTTTTCTTAGGTCAAAATTTCTCTTCCTGTGTGAAAAATATATACTGGCATAATAAAGGTACTTATATTTTCCTTTCGTTTCCAATCTATTAAAGGGCTAGGAACAAATTTGCCAAATTACATATGTACATATTAGGAGTATAACAACATTAAATATATTATATTTTGAATCCAGACAAAATGCTTTCCATAAGTTGAGGAATAGCATTGTACTTTAAAACAAATAAAATCCAGAATGTCTTGGTTGAAATCCAGAATCTTGGACAAAACAACATTTGGAGGGATTGCACATGAATTTTAAGGGGCAAATAGAATATGATTAGCATGTTTCACCCTTTCTCTTCACTCCTCTTATCAGCCACTCCCAGCATGGCATGACTCATGGTTTTGTCCACCTCACTAATCTTCCTTCTATCTCTGTATTGAGTTGTCACCACTATTGAAAAGACAATATATCTCCCTGTTGTCCCAAGACTTTTCTTTTGCCTCTATGCCACCATCACCACCACAACCAAGATTCTCAATGTTCTTACCCAAATTACTTCTATTAAGAAAAGAAATTGTGATTCAGATGTAAAACAAAATAGCCTCCTGCATTGAAACATATTGCTCATTTGAGTTTGAAACAAGTGTTAGCATTAAGTATCATAGTGTTGCTTTTCTAGCCAAAATTAGACCCTTGCAATTGACTTTAACTTTTTAAATAACCTTGGTGATTCTCCTGGGAATTGACATATTTTTGATGTAGCAAGTTGAATTGTATAACAAGATTATGAGACATTGTTTTTAGTCTTTTCCTTAGCAATTTTAACAAATAATCAGGCATGCACAGGATATGAGAACTTCTGATTTATGTACAAAAATTTATGTACAAAAAAATGAAAAAAATCCAGTGACTGCTGCATATACAGCTGAATTATTTTATTTAGTTGTTTCAGTAAGGAGATTCTAATTGATATTTTCTGAATTGTAGTTTTTAATAGTTTCAAAGAGTTAGTTGTAGGCATAGGAAACAAACATCAAGCAGAAAGCATATTTTATGTATGGTTTGCTATTTATATGCACTTTCAATCCATTTAGGAGAGACTCTATTCCAGCCCAGCACCATTAAATATATATTCAGGGATGATAGAATTTGTTATTCTATGTATGTGGTTGGTGCCAGTTTGGAGAAAGCTGATTTATGAAATTGAGCATGAGAAATGCATTTGTTATTGTTAAAATGAAATAATAGAATAGAATAGAATAGGATAGGATAGGATAGGATAGGATAGGATAGGATAGGATAGAATAGAATAGAATAGAATAGAATAGAATAGAATAGAAGCTGGAAGGGACCTTGGAGGTCTTCTAGTCCAGCTCCCTGCTCAAGGAAGAGAACCTATACCATTTCAGACAAGTGACTGTCTAATCTCTTCTTAAAGATCTCCAGTGATGGAGTGCCCACGATTTCTGAAGGCAAGCTGTTCCACTGGTTAACTGTCCTCACTGTTAGGAAGTTTCTCCTTAATTCTAGGTTGCTTCCCTCTTTGGTCAGTTTCTGACCATTGTTTCTTGTCTTTCCCTCTGGTGCTTTGGAGAATAGTTTGACACCCTCTTCTTTGTGGCAGCCCCTCAAATACTGGAATACTGCTATCATATCGCCCCTGTTTCTTCTTTTCTTTAGACTAGCCAAACCCAAGTCCTGCAGCCATTCTTCATATGTTTTAGTCTCCAGGCCTTTGATCATTTTAGTTGCTCTTCTCTGAACTTTTTCCAAGGTCTCAACATCTTTTTTGTAGTATGTATATGCATACTAATATGCATATACATATATGAATAAATATATGCATGTAGAGTATAGAAGATAACAGCTTGAGGTGAAAAAAATAATGATCCTTTGGTCTTCCAGGATTTTATTAGCTATTCTTATATTTCTGTTACTGCTAATTTTTAGAATTTATATCACTATTCTAAGCTATGCATGATTGTGTAGCTTATGCTTGCATCAACATCTACAGTTTTAATTGATTATGTTAATGCAAAACTAATCTCTTGTATATAATCCATAGATGATTTTAATAATTTTGCTTTATTTATTTGTTGCATTTAGATCTCACTCCAGTACAATAACTATTTCTTGGTCCACTTTTACAATTTTTGAAATAAACCTATCTTGCATTCCCTAATTTTAAATTAAAGATTTAGGTGCTAAAACATGAAATATCAGTGATTAAATGTTAAATATTAAAAATGCTAGAAACTATCAAGATAACAGTTATATTGCCTAAGCAACAACCATTACAATATCTGATACCATTTTTTTTCAAAAGTGAGCTTTTCTAGTTCTAGATTAGACTGCCATCCTTAACCTATTTATGTAAGCTTAAAACCATTAAATTCAGTAGAACTTCCATCTGAATAGATATCTATCAATTTATACTGTAAACATGGGAGAGGAGTGGCAAGGCAAATGATAATATATGTGAGCCACCATCAAATATACATCATAAATATTTCATAATACACATTTTGCCATCAGATGTTATGGGGTCATTACATAATCATGCCATGGCATTCTGATACATGTGCAATCCTTTAGAAATTACTGGTGCTTGTTGTTGCTGTATGTTATAGGATTGCAGCCTTAAATCAATTACTGATATCTGGCATAAAATAGCTAAATGAGCTATGGCAAAAAAAAGTTTCTGATGTCATTTCTGCTATGAACTACCTAGATCAGGGGTGTCAAACTCAATTTCATTGAGGGCCGCATCAGCATTGCGGTTGTCCTCGGGGACTGGGTAGGTGTGGCCAGGGTGGGCGTGACCTACTGGATGGGCATGGCTGGAGTGGGTGTGGCCTACTGGGTGGACATGGCCAGCTCTACATCATTCGCGCCAAGGGGGCCTGTGGGGGCTTGGGCAGGAGTGGGACAGATCTGAGGGTCTCTGGCAGAAGGGGGTGGGACCAGGGCAAGCGCCAAGGCATAGTTCACTGGAAGAGCCTGCTGAAACCCCTCCCCCAGAGCCCATCAAGCCGGATATGTGAAGTAGGCGAGAGCCATTTGCTGGCCACTTCCAGGCAATAGTGCATTTCTTCATTCCTCACAAAGGTGACACGCCCCCAGCATGCACCCAGGAGGCAGGGCCGACACGGCAGAGGCTGGTCCCTTGCTGTTTCCAGACGGCCTTGTGGAGCTAAGACTGAATGGTTTCAGCATAGATGGCCACCACAAAATTGTACATTGGCTCCCAGATGGCCTGGGCCAGGACCAAGGCAACAGGGGCCATTCCCTCACTGTTTTCAGGATGGCTTCGCGGGCCACATGAAACCACTTCGCTGGCCGCATCCGGCCCCCGGGCCTTGTGTTTGACATGTCTGACCTAAGTGACTTTAGCTAGCAACTATATCTTAATTTCAACTTCAGTTTTAAAGTCCTGAAGTATTAGAAAACCAATCTTTCTTTTGAATATTAAAACTTGCATATTACACACCTTCAAAGGTCTATGCAAGTTAAAATAATTATTTTAGAAATCATACAACTATTAAAATACAGCTATATTAATAACAATGCAATTGTTTTCTATTAACTATCTTATTTCTGTTAGTTTCAGAACTGTAATAACTTTGTTTCAAAGATTTGTAGATTTGAAGATAGAGGTTTTTGTGATTACAATCACATAAACTAGATAGCTTTTTAGGTAGTTCTAGACAACCCATATCTCATTGAGTTATGATTTCAGAGATATTTTATTAAATTAAGAAACAGAATGACTACAGGTGGACAAAAAAGCAAAAGTGATTTCTGACTGTTGATGGCTGCCCCATTGACTTTTCTTTTTATAAGACTTTATGAAATTTCAATAAAAGATAAAATACAAGAAAACAGAAAGAAAAAATTAAGGAAAAACAGATAAGATAAAAAGAAAAATTAAGGGTGCAGAAAGAAAAGAAAAATATAGAAAAAGGGTAGCTTCCAACTTTCTTTGGTACAGATACAAATATAAAATATATTATTTTTTTGCTTTAAAATGAACCATTATATGTGGTACTTCTGTAGTGTATTAAATAGTGTGAATTGTTTGACTCACTAACTGATTGCCAAAACCTCTATTTTGCAATCTTGCAAGGAGTGGCTGTTCAGGGGATGAGTGCATTATTTTCCAGGATTCTTCTTAAATCTATAAAATTATTTAGGCTACAAGTTCTGGTCGAACCCCACTTCAGTTATGGAGTCACTTCCCATTTGAGGGAGCCACTCAGTCTGCCATTTTCTTCACCAGAAGCTCTCCCATTTACTTTTCTTATGGGAAGCTGGCAGGGAGTGTTGGAAATGATTATTATCAGTGTGGCAGTGTGGCAGTATTGAAATGGGCACAACTTTGCCAAATTTCAATCCCATGGGAGTAATGGGTCTCAGATTTTGAATATACTCTGTAAGTTAGCTCATTTAAGGTACATTGATTAAAAAATTGTTTCCCTATGAAGCAGCATTATGCCCAATTGGAAGTTACAATTGGAAGTTACAACAGGAGAGTTTTAGTAATATACTAGAAAACCTGTACCCTGTTGGGTCATTGTTTCAGAGATATTTCCTTACCAGATTCCTCAGTGCCTTCAGTGACACAGCTTCTAATGTACTGCCTTCACTGGAAAAATTGGGATACATTCAGAGATGTATCTCACTTGAAAATAGCCCATGCATAGCACAATCAAACAGAGCACAGAAAATGTTTTATGACATTTTGAGTTAGGTCATAAATTGCTTTATGATAATGTTTATATCATCAAATGTGTTATAACATTTGCCAAATTTCAATTCCACAGGAGTCCTAAATCTTACATTTCCGAGGCAGTCTATAAGATAGTCCATTCAAGGTGCCTTGGTTCAAAAGATTTTGTCCTATGGTG